TATTGACATTTCTGGCAGTATGTCACGAACGGGTTGATGTGTAAATGTGTCTATGTTGTGTAAATGAACTCTTAATGTTATAAGTGTTCAAACAAATATTCACAATGTTTGTATTAAATTCAACACTCATTAAATATATGTTTTGCGCAATTGAAAATATTTCACGCCGCTGCAATCGCTACAGTCGGCTACAGGCCGCTATAGGCCGCTACCGCGATGACCGCTACCGCTACCGCTGCCGCTACGGCTATTTAAAACCTTGGTCATACTGCTCAGTCAAGCCATTGACTAAACGGAGAACAAGTCGTTTGTTATCAACAGGGGAATCGACATTGGCCAATTGATCAGAGATGATTTTCAATGCTTTGCAATAGGCAGAAACATTGGGAAATTGTTCAAGGCGGATATTTGAGAACTGGTTTTCCAAATACACGGCCCGGGATTGTTTATTGTCCTGAAAAATTTCCGCGAGATGCTCCCATGCCAATTGAGCCGTGGAGTTGGGCTCGATAATGGTATGGAGCAAATCAGTGGTAATAGTTCCATAGATCCATTGTAAAACAATGGCATCTAGGCGATTCCAGAGAGCTTTTGCCTCGGCGGCGGCAGCCTCCTGTGCGATGCGCTGCTCGGGCATGAGAGTAGATGATGATGCAGTGGTGGAAGATGTGGACGAGGCAGCCGTCGGGAGGATATGATCAAGTACCTCATAGGCACGAGCTGTAATTTTGAACAGCTCAGCCCAAGATGAGTACTCGACGGTCTCAATATCAAGAGTAATAGGAATGAAATTTCGGATGTTGGAGATGGCCAAGGCCGGGTGAAATTTGGCCGGAGAAGGGGAAGTCATGGCGTAGAAGAAGAGAATGGTCTCTGATACCAAATTGGCTGAAAACCTTGCCTCTATTGATACGGCCAGAGGGCCTTATATACAAGGAGTTTACAACGGACACACAGATATACATGGAAACTGCCATAATAGTGATAGCTAATTATACTCCTACGAATATTCTATGAGAGAATAACAAAGGAAAGAATATTGTACATTAAATATACACATGCGGTAATTATCTACCCAATACATGGCAAGTAATTGCTAATACAATAACGCATGCATGCATGCATACGTTAAGAGAACCCCTCTAGATTTCTCAAAGAATGCTAACAATTTCAGCTACAATATACTCGAATTTTGAACTAAACATTCACTACCTTAAGGTTAGGTGCATCAGTTAATTTTAAAAGTCAAAAGGGTAAGTTTCTAAGTAAGAGGACTAAGATCAATCTTTTAAACCCTGTTTAGTAACTCCTACAATATATATTTAGCTTATTAACCTTATTAGCGAACTTTTATGAAACGTGCATTTTTTTTTACTTTGCACGTAGAATTTAGTTAAGTCTGAAATTACTTTTCTGACTAAATTGGCTCAAGTTGTTGTAGAGTACCATACAAGCTATTTACATGTAATTTTTTCTTAAATTTATTAATAAAACAAAATATCAATATATTTTTCCATAGCTTAGCAAAGTTAGTCAATTCAGCCACTTCAACCCTAACTTCATAAATTTCAACAAATTAAACCGATTCAGCCAATTTCAGTGTTACTAAACGGACCCTTAAATTCATGTACACATTTAAATTCTAAACTATACAAAGATGGGAAATCCACTAATATATCCTACCTCCGCCCCAAAAATCTTTGTCATTTTTAAAACATTGACCAGGTATATCTTTTTATTGGATATTATTTATTATATAAAAATGATATAAAAATGTACTTTTTTTAAAAGTACTTTCATAAAAATATAAAATTTATAACTTTCATATTATTATACTAATCAAAATCATGGCCCAAATTTTATGAAATGGTAAAAAAAATTGGGACGGAGGTAGTATTATGTATGATATATACATAAAACTATCAAATCGTCTTTTCATTTTTATTTATAATATAAAAATGATCGATATAAAATATTCTTTGTTAAAATTACTTTCGTAAAAATATAAAATTTATAACTTTCATAATATTATACTACCTCCGTTCTCTATAATTGCAATATTGGACTTTTTGCACTATTCATATATTCTACTTTGACTATTTTATTAATATTAAAGTATTATAAATTAGATTTTCAAAAAATATTGTTAAATTCTACTCATTCTAAAATTTCAAAATATGAATTTTTTAAATTTTTACTAATAAGGAATGAAAGATATTAATGGTCAAACTTGTGTGTTGGCAAACATGAAATGTTGACCCGTTGCAATTAAAAGGGAACGAAGGAAGTACTAATCAAAATCATGGTCCAAATTTTAGATCTACAAATTGATCATCTTCTTCATCGATTCCTTAATGATGGATGTTGGTGGTGATGAAGATATGTTGGAGGCGGGGTGGTGGCGAGGCAGTGGCGGCGTCAGATGAGTTTATGGTGTCTAATAATGGAGATGGCAGCTAGAGTTAGGACTTGATAGTGGGTCGACGTTGGGCGACGGTGACTATGGTTAGATTTGAGGGTAGTAAGACGGCGATGTTGGGTGAGGAGGGAGGTGGAGTGTGAGTGGTGCAGTGACAGGGTGTGAGAATGGGGCAGTATGGTGGTGCGGTGGGTTAGTGAGTGGTCCGGGCAGTAACAGTGGTGTGGACTGTGGAGGCTGACAAGGGGTGGTGCTAGGGAGTGTGGTCACCGGAGGAAAGGCGGTGGCCATAGGTTGGATGGAGGTGGTCATTGACTTTCTGCTGGAAGGCGGTGGTCACGGTGGTCGGAAGGCTCTGCGCCAGAGTCACTGTATCGTAGTCACTGTGTCGGAGTCACTACACAAGAGTCAGTGCATCGGAGTCACTATTGCCGGGATCACTTTGTCACATTGTGATATTGGTAACATTTTTGTAAAATAGCAAATCACATTTTTGTGTTTTGTATTCTTTTTAGTTTTATTGAGGCCAAAAGGCCTAATTAAATACTTAACGTTACATGTCAAGATCAATAGTGTCAAGCTTAGAACATAAAATAAAATAGGACTTAGATGAACATATAATGAAATTATGATGATTGTAGAAATCAAACCTAGAACATAAAAATTTCTTGGACCATCAAACAAAGAACTTAACAGATAAGACCATGTTTTATGTCTGTAGACAATTGACGTTCCAATCTGGATTTGAGGATTAGAGTACAAGTATAAAATACGGAGTAATAATTTATGTGTTAAACCAACCCGGACATCAACGCACAATAAAATAGGTATTCATTCACACAAAATAAACAATTCAAAAAAGACATATTTATTTTCATTAAAAATCTCCGGCCTCGAGCCCATAGTAGCGTATTCTAATGAAGTAGATTTGTGGAGTTCAGTAAGACTCACATGGAGTTATATATATAGCTCATTTTGTCTCATCAAGCACCAATCATTTTAATGGGGGATGATAGCACTATAGAAATGAATGATGGAGAGTATATTCAAAAGTGATATACCTAAAGATAACAAAATTGCAACACACTCAAAAGCTCACAAGTTAAAAAACAAATACTCCGTATATGAACACCAACACCCCCTCTTATAAAAGGGGGGATTCATTTTGTTCATAAACGACATAGATCGGTCTATGGTTGAATTCTAAATGTGTTGTCAAATTCTGGTCTGATCTGGTCAGGTCAGGTCTGAACTGGTCTGGGACTGATATAAGTCCAAGTAAAAACATTCTAAGTCTGATTGAAATGTAACAGAATATACATAGTATATATGTCGGATTGAACAAAATCATGTAGAAATAATTGTACTGGAGCCCTTGCTTCATGGAGCTATTGGGAAGATTGAACACATCTTAAAATGAAAGAAGTATAACTTACGTATTGTAAGAATGTTTTTACTTGGACTCATTTTAGTCCTAAACCAGACAAGACTAGACTTTAACAGACCAGACTAGATTTATGCAATTGTAAAATACATAAAGATCAGACCAGTTCATAAAAAATTGGACTGAAATAAACCAGACCACAAAATTTCGATCAAGTAAAATATTCTAATTGTACACAATATTGTTACACAAGAGTATCTCCCAAATAAATATAAGAAATTGCCTACCAACTACCTTGGTGAGTGTATGCCTCGGATGAAGCTCCGCTCTAAGCCACAAACCTTTCTCTTCTCGACTGCAGTTTTGGGGTTCTCTTGCTATCTTAAAAACCAAGTACAACCTCACCCCAACCTTGGTTAAGGGCTCGGCTTCGCCTGCAGTTTTGGAATTCTTTCATTAATATCATAACCAGGTTTGACCTAGGCCTTGCCTTGGCTAACGAGCTCGGCCTCAGCCTGTTGATATTTCCTTACTCAACTGCGGAGATACGTTCATTATTATCTTGACCCCTGGGGTATATGTGAATATATTCCATCAAGAGTAATAAAAATATAGGAGGGACAAATATATTCCATCTATATATCACACATGTATACAACTTGATCAAATAAAATGAAGTTAAATTATACAATTGGATTTTTCAAAATGAATAACATATTTTAATATTTCAAGTTCATATGCCCATTGTCCATCTTCCTTGAACAATTCTTCAATTTGCACGAGATTTTTATCAATAGTGACTAGGGGCTATAAAAAAATCAAACAGCGTAGTTATGTAAGGTTCAAATAAGCAATTTTCCGCCATCAATAAATATGTATGTACATTGGCCATTGAAGAAGAATTCTCTAAGAACTGATCTCAAGAAAAATGTCTTCATGCATTGCCAGGCGGACAGTTTTGTGTTGTCCTACCAAGGACAAAGAGCAAAAATGGATTAAAAATATTACGGAGTAATTCATTCTAAAGATCGAAAATTTTACACCAGGACCATAATGGTATCTACAAAGACATTTTCTAAAATCTAAAAACATAGTCTTTCTAATATTTTATGTCTCTTGGTCATTTTGAGGTCTTATATATTCTATGTTCATTGTTATTATACTATTGATAAACACTTGCCACTTGGAGTTACAAAACTCATATAGAAACATTATATAATTTATAAATTAAGATTTCATATGGAAGTTTTACCCGGGGCAACGCCCGGGTACAAAACTAGTAATTAAGTAAAATAAAAGTCAAAGACGAAACCCATAAAAGCTGCACAATTTATGGGTCATTTGAGGTAAATACTTGTTTAACAATCCAAGTAAAAGAATAGATCCCAAATAGTAGGTGTGCTCAGGGACACCCATCATCACAGCATACATTCTTAAATAGTATGAGAAGATGCCACTTCAGATGTTATCCTTATGGATATATCTAAATGAGGATGATTCCTTGTTCCTGCTACGAAATCATGGCCCTTCAAAGGTGAAGTGCCCAACCCCTTTATTGTCAATGTAGATGATAACCCTTATACCAATAGCTCTTAGTTCACTTCGAACTGCATTACCAGCTTCTTCTTTTGAAGTGGATGAATTAGCTTTGGTAGAACGACCAAATTTATGCAGTTTTTTGTTTGATTTAATACCACTGTTATTTGCAGAGGAAGACTGAGCCGACTCACCCTCAGATTTCTTCTTGTTAGCTTTCCCAACAAATTTGTTCTCATATGCTTTTCTCACCTGCCACACTTTGTCATCAAACTTGTGGCCATTGAGCACTTCCACTGCCCAAGCCGCATCATCTGCATCCCTAAAGTGGACAAATCCGTAACCCTTTGATATCCCATCTCTGTCTCTCACTATTATAACGCTAGAGATCGTTCCCCCAAACCAATGAAAAGCATTCCTAAGATCACCTTCAGATGTGGATTCAGATAAGTTTCCCACAAAGACATTAGTGGGGCTATGTTTTTTCTTTTCTTGCTTTGTGGGGCAAGATTTTACTTGCACGTTCTTGTGCTCCAATCTTGCACCATTCATCATCTCAACAGCTTTCTGTGCAGCTTCGACATTGCCATATTCAATATATCCGTGCCCCATTGACACACCAGATCCATCTGTTACCACCTTGCAAGAAAGGATTTTGCCAAATGCAGAAAAAACATCATGGAGTGCATCGTTGCTAATGCCCTTGTCCAAATTCTGTATGCAAATGCTAATATGACCACTTTTTTTCTCAGTGAGGTCTACATGGGACTGATTCATATCAACATTTTCCATGTCGTTTAAATCCTACCAAAAGAACTAGATCAGAAATAATATTAACAACAACAACAACAACAATAATAATAATAATACTAATAGTGGTAGTAGTAGTTTCTTTGCACTTCCCTCAATACCTCATTCCGTATATATTTAGCAAGATACTTTCATTAGTTTCATAGCCTGAGGTAATTGATTAACACTTTGGACACTTATACTTGGGATCTAACCAAAGCAAAAATAAAAGCCATTTCTTATCCAAGTCCATCACAATAGATAAGCATTTTTCAATGGCTGCCGTACATTGCATGATTTCAAGTAACCTTTCATCCCAATATAAATTTATCTATTTCCTTTTATGGTTGTCTAGTAATCTACTTCACTTCCATTTAAAAAAAAGAATTGTGTAGCTGGCACTATTTCTTTCCATTTTCTAAAAGAATCTCAACCACACGATTTCAGTTTCTAACTAGTGTCATTCCTACTATGAACTTTAGATTGGGACAGAAGTGAGTGCATAACTTCAAATTTCTATGTATACCTTAGTATTAGTTTGGTGTCCCCTTCCTAGTGCACCAAGAGCTTCTGTTGGTTCAGTTTCATTTTTGGAAGAATAAAGTGATTCAGATTTTGAAGTATTCCTATTACAATCACCAAACTGAGAATGTTGATTATTAAAGCATCCATCTTCTAAGATTGCATGACCTCCGTGGTTTTCATTAACGAGTCTGCCATCCACACCTCCATAGTCATTCTTGGCGCTAAAGCATTCAGCATCTATGCCTTCATTACTTCCCTTATTGTTAAAACATTCATGTTTTATGCCACCAGAACCTCCATGGTTGTTAACAGGTTTACACTCTTTAGGTCCATGACCTGCAGCTTCACGACCACTACCTCCCCAATAACCACCTCCAAGACCTCCACGACCACGACCTCCCCGACCACGACCTCCCCGACCACGACCTCCCCGACCACCACCTCCACGACCACCACATCCATGACCCCTGTTGTTGTTTTTCAGGGTTTCACCATCCGCACCTCCACGACCACCACCTCCATGGACACCACCTCTATGATATCCACCTTCACGGACACCACCTCTGAGGAATCCACCTCCACGGACACCACCCCCACGACCTCGATCTCCATGAAAGCCCTGGTTGTTTTTATTGGTTCCACTGTCCACACCTCCGGGAATCTCCCCTTCACGACCTCCCTGGTAGTTATTAAAGTGTTCACTGCCCTCTCCTCCATGACCTCTCTGGTTGTTCTTAAAGCGTTCGCTATCCACACCTCCACGACCACCACTCCCACTAATTCCGTCTCCATGAAATTCACCTTCTCCGCCACCTCGACCTTCCTGGTAGTTGTCAGGTCGTCCACCATTTATGCCGCCAGGATGACTATGAGGGGAATTTTCTCCAAAATTTTTTATAGAGCCACATTTATCTTTGTCAAGGTCTTCAAGCTCTTTCCCAGTTCCATCTTCAGATGGGCGCAAATTGCTATGTGAAGTACTAGTCTTACTATCAACTCTGCATCCACCAGAGGAATCTGAACTGCACTGACCATTGGAGAAAAGTTTATTGTTGAAATCTGTGAAGTCTTCGCTAGTTCTTTTTGTCTCCACAGCCTGCAAGTTACTATTACCATAAATATTCATATTTACTCTCAGCCAATTAAGTACATTTAAGCAATTTATTAAAACTTAACTTTCTAAAGTACTCTGATATTCTATTTTTAGCCAAAAAGTGGTCACAGTATTCACACAAAAATGATCTTAAAAAAATAGTCACTTTACTCAGTTCTTAAACCAACTACTAAGAATTGTTTCAGTCACACCTTTCTGAACAAAACTTCGCCGTATTCTATTGTTCATTTTACAACAGCATCATATTTGAGAAATACCTATCAAAGATTTCAACATGTTGATTAAACATACTTTGAATCTTATGCCCTGGGGCATAGCTAAGGGGCATGCTAGGCCTTGACCCACCCCAAATTGGAGAAAAGCTTTGAATATGGGGGTGTTTGGAACTGATTCTGCTTCTGCTTCTTTTTTAAAGCAGAAGCATAATCAGAATCAGTTTTCAAAAGTTGGTACCCCCGCTTCTAAAAAAACTGATTCTGAGAGTAAATTAGAGCACCAGAAGTGCTTCTGGAATTTCACCCAAACACTCCAGCTTCTGCTTCTGCTACCTGAAGGAGCAGAATCAGTTTTGAGAATCAGATCCAAACACCCCCATATATGTGTATAAAGTTTTACATAAAAGATTATCTTTAAAAATCTTTGTACTGGCCCAGAAAATTTATACCATGGCTACGCCAGTACGCCAATGATGCATAAACTTTGAAAATCATAGCAATTTCATACCTTCACATTAGCTTGGTTTGATTTGGTAACAGCTGCATTTCCTTCATACTTCTTCTGCAGTGCATCCCAAGCTTCTTTAGATGTTTTGACATTATCAATGCAAGGCGAAACAGATTCGTGTATCTTTTTGTGGATAAGAAGCAAGGCCAAGGCATCCTTTTGCTGAACATCTTGCAAAGCGTCAACCATAAGCTCCTCCCCGGTATAGCCTCTTTCCACCAAGTCCCAAAGGTGTAGGGTCTTGAGCATAAATTTCATCAAAGTCCTCCATTTCTCGTATCCATTCCCATTAAACCTCGGAATTCCACTCAACAAGAAGCTTGAGGTTTTCCATGTTACACAACTAAAAAGGTTAACCCAAAGAAAGTTAAAATTCAATGCAATTAGAGACGAAAAAGGTCATTAGGTCAGTTCCTGTTAATTTCATGTTGGATCTAAAATTAATATTTACGGGAGGCAGAATGTCGTGATAAACATACACACATAAATTGCTTCAATGTCATATGATCATGCATTGAATCAGAAGTGCTCTTACTACATAGCAGCCCAAACAAATAGGTCACCAATTCTTTGCGAGCGTCTCTCCACGATAGAGAAACTAAGCCAAAGTACCAATTTATCGATCCAAAATTTAAATGAGAACAAAAAAGTAGAGCGTTACCGAATATGGGCTGACAATTTATCAGCAGCTGGATCAACCTTCGTCGTTTCTGGATCAGCTTGTGTTCCCTTGTAAAGGTATCCGAACTGCTCTGCAAGCCTGGCTACAGCTGCAACCGTCCCGAGGGTGGCGATGACCGCCGCATACATTTTCCGCTCCCAGAGAAAAAGGATTACTTTGCCGAGTCCATCAGCAGAAAACTGAGAAAAAAAGGAACCTCCACTATGCATAGTGACTAAACTGTCAAAAGTTCCCGCGGGGCCCACCAACGTATATTGTTCAAGTTCCAACCAAGTAGTGAATACTGTGTACACTCCTATTGACCGAACATGTTTTAAATTAGATGCATTTTTTCACCTGATTATTTATCAGTTCATATTTTCAATTTATCATTCTTTATCACCAACTTTTTTACATCCCAAAAGAGAGCCAACAAACAAACAAAATTCTCACTTTCTTTTTTCATTTCTAAATCTTTTCATCACACCCTCAAAAATTTTGAAAATAATACACTATTACATCATTTTTTTTGAATTTATTCTTCCTTCCATCACACTATTTCAATATATTCTCATCATACCATCAACAATTTATATCCTCTTTCACTATTATTAATCTACCTATTTTGAAAATGTGAAGATTTTTATGTTACGGAGGGAGTATAAAACAACTCAAAAAAATGTCAAACAATATAAAAAACAATGTCATTTCCTTAATGTGAATGTAAACGAGTGTAAAATTTAAATAGGGTCAGAGGAAGTAGAATATACTCTAAAACGACAATGGTTCGTTGTAATAAATTCCCTCGTTAAAAAGTTATAACAACGATGTTCATGTTAAAATATGACGACAACATATTATCTCGTCGTTACTAAAAACAACGTTTTTAGTATATATTTATGATGAAAATACGAAATGATTTGTTATTGTTATGAGATACAAAGTAGTAAAAAATGATCAACTCTTAAACGAATGCACACTAAAATTTAATCTCTTGGAAGAATTATTTTTCATACATACATTTAGACAAACATAAAATACAATTTGAATTGTATGTTGATGTTTTTAACTACAAAAAATGAATAGAATTGAAAAACTACAAAAAAATGAATAATGCATGACATATCCCTGAAATAGGGAAAATCGCACTTTTAGTCCCTGAAATAGTCACAATATTGAAATGTCAGACTCGTATTCCCATGTTTGCAAATGTCATCCCTCAATTGTCCAAATTATGGTAAATAATGTAGTCCTTTGAGGGTGAAATGTACAATGTGGGCGATGAGTGTATTTCAACCCTCAAAGGACCACATTTACATCAATTTGGACAATTGAGAGGTGACATTTATAAACTTGGAAATATAGGTCTGACATTTCAATATGGTGACTATTTGAGGGACTAAAATGCGATTTTTCTAGAATATACATAAATCTCGTGCAGTCGTGCATAATAATTGTTCTTTAACTAAAAATGAAACATACATAATAATTGGAAATTATGAATGATATGCATCATGATTCTAAATTCTAATGACATTAATAGAATGACAGAGATCCTAATTTTGTACATTTCTAAGAACTTGAAAAGTATGAAATCCAAAAGAGTTCTTGTAGACTTAGAAATAGGTTCTTCTCTTCTAGCTTCAAACCTTCGTCCCACTCACTTTTCCAATTTAATATTCATATAGTCGACATAGATTTTGTAGTTCTCATATTTTATGTGTTAACTTTTTCTTAAGATTGAATAAGCAGAACTGACCCGGTTCCCAGGTCCGGTTCGGTGCCCGAACCGGTGGGGCGGCGGGTCCGGGCTTGGTTTTGGCGACCCGGCCCAGTTGGATCGGGCCCGGGTCCAAGCCTAACGGCCATAATTAAAAAAAAATCCTTTGAATTCTAAAGAGTCGTTTGGCTCTTGACCCACATCCCAAACGGCTATATAGTCGTTGGGTGGGTACCAGAGGGGGTCCGGGGCTTGGGGGGGGTTAAAAAAATAAACCTATAAATACTCCCAATTTTAAACATTTTTCAAACCTCTTCTCCAACTCTTCTTAAATCCTACTCTCTACTCTCTACTTATCTCCATATTCATCTTCTCAAATTCTCTTATTCTCCATTATATTTTATTTTACTATTTAATACTTATACAATTATTATATCTACTTATATATTAATTATCTACTTATAAATACATATACTATATTACTTATATTTCTTATCTACTTAATCTCTACTTATTATCTACTTATATCTACGTAATACATACATACTACATCTACTTAATATATACTTTATATATTGAAGTATTAAATATACTTTATAAACTATTAGTATATACTTAATACATAATAATATCTACTTCTCTACTTATATTTCTTATCTACTTATTTTCTTAATCTCCAATCTCCATTATACTTTACTATTTAATTCTTATATACAATTATTATATCTACTTATATATTAATTATCTACTTATAAATACATATACTATATAACTTATATTTCTTATCTACTTAATCTCTACTTAATTATTATCTACTTAATACATACATTCTACATCTACTTAATATATACTTTATATATTAAAGTATTAAATATAACTGTATTACTCATCTTATAGTAGTATACTTATATATTATATACTATAAACAATATATTATATATTAGTTACACTTTAATTAATATTACTTAAAATCATTCTATTACTCATTTACTCCCATTAATTACTATACACATTCATACATTTGTCTTATTACTTACATTTTGTATTAACATTACTTGATTAGTTAATTAGTATTCCCACTAATTGTTACATTTTTCATTATACTAGTTAATTAGTTAATTAGTATTCCCATTAATTTCTAAAACAACTCTACTTTAAAAAACTAGTTAATTGTCATTATAGTTAAAGTCACATTATAATAGTTTGAATTTATATTTGAATAAAAAAAGAGTAGTTCGATCATTTTATTAAAGTACTTGCATTTTATTAAAGTACTTGCATTTTATTAAAGTAGTTTTCACTAAATTAAAGTACTTGAAAAGTTTCTATAATTTAATTACTCACATTTTAGTTAAAGTCACACTTGTTAGTTTTAAGTATTTATTAAAAAATACTATTGATTAGTTCGAATTTTAATTTGTATTTTAGAGTCACACTTTTATTCACTACTTAATTAAAGTACTTCACATTTTATTAAAGTAGTTTGCACTAAATTAGTTTGAAGTATTAATTAAAATAGTTTTAATTAGTTGCATTACTTTTGTATTCATTACTCCGTATTATATTTGTGGCAAATTAATATTTGTTACATTTTTAGGATGGAAGGTGGTTGATATTCGATTGATTTGGGTAACCTCGAGCGCAACCGAAGGAACGAGATTGGGAGGAAGAAATCCCGCAAAGGTAAAGAACTTGTCGGCTCTTCATCTCAAAGCCGAGATGATTTTGAAACGGGTTACCAAAGGAGGGATGGAGATGCGAGAACAACTACAACAAGAATTGGCCCGACATAATAACCGCTTTCTCCAACAACAACAAATCCCGACGACCATTGACGAAGATGAGCTTGAGGATGAAGATGCGGAGGAAATGGAACCGGGGACGGCCGAGGAGGAGGGTGGCGGCAGCCACGACGCCGACGAGCCTGCCTCATCCCAAACCGCCACTGCTAATAAAAAAAGTAAATCTGAACTAATGAAAAATAATTTCGATAAGTGGAAGGACGCACAAACCGGGTATTGGCACGCAACTTGCAAGTGGTGCAACAAAAATTATAGCTTGGGGACCTCCGGCGGATACGGATCCGCCGCAAGGCATCTTAAGGCGAAGCACCCCGTGGAGTATGCAAAATTAGGAAGCGGAACGGGGAAGCAAACTCAAATATCGAGGTTTGCGAATTCTCAACCTTTTGGTAATTTCTCATACAATGATGCACAAAATTTGACTGGTATGGCTAACTTAATTGTTGAAGAAAATTTGTCTTATACGCTTTCTGAAAGTCTTGCTTTAAGAGATTATGCATGCGGTAGTTTAAATCCTCAATTTAGAGGTTATAGTCGCAAAACTGTTAAGAAAGAAATTCTAAGGCTTTATAAAGCGGAAAAGGCAAGGTTACAATTTTTTTTTTTTGCAAACTTTGGTGGGCGTGTTACTATTTGTTCTGACATATGGGAGGATGATTTTCATCATTTAAATTATTTCGGTCTGACTGCACATTATATTGGTGAGGATTGGAATATGCATAAACGTGTTCTTGCTTTTCGTGAATGTAATGATCGTCACACCGCTGAACATATTTATATTTTGATTGAGCGTATTTTAATTGAGTATAATTTCATTGATAAGGTGTTTGCTATTGGTTTCGATAATGCTACTAATAATACTGCTGCTATACCTAGATTGCGTGAATTGTGTGGTGTCAATACTTTGATGGGTAGATTTTTTCATCAACGCTGTGCATGCCATGTTATAAATTTATGTGTGCAAGACGGTCTAAAAGCGCTAGGGGATGCTATGGAGGTAGTCGGGGGGGGGGGGGGGGGGGGTAGACGTATTTGGGGTAATGGTCAACTTAGATTAAAATGACAAACTTATTTGACTGAAAGAGGTGTGAGATATGTTGCTTTTCCTAAAGATTTGAGTATTCGTTGGAATAGTACTTATAAATTACTTAAAGTTGTTCTTAGATATAAAGAACATTTTCCCGCTTTTTTAAAACAACATGATAACTATATTATAAACTCGGCTGAGATCGACACTTGCGAAAAAAATTGTAATGTTTTGATTTTTTTTAATGTAACTGAAACTTTTAGTCACATTTATAAACCTACCGCAAACCAATTTATTCGTGAAGCTGTTAATCTCGCCGGTGCTTTTAGAGAATTTGAGAATGCTGTTTACGTGAGTTATTTTTGTGATTTTATGAAGGATTTGTTTTTTAAAATATTATGCACATATTCCGCATATTTATGGTATTGCATTTATTCTCGATCCTCGTTTTAGACTAGCTAATTTGGAAGATTGTTTCAAGTTCTATTATCTTGTTTTTTTGGTGAATTTGCAATGTATGACGATAACCCCATAGATCCAAAAACGGAATACAACGAGGTTAGTGTTTTATTTTATGCCTTATTTAATGAGTTTCGTGCACAATATGGCAACGCTCCCCCTCCCCGACCCGAACATCTTCATCTAAAGGAAAATCGATTTTTAAATCTGCATTTGGCAATCTTATAAAAAAAACTAAAACAACTCACGTTGAATAAATGAGATTACTTTGTATTT